TTAACGTATTACCTTCTCCCGCTATTTCGAGACTCCGATCCACAGTTCTCGAAACCACGGCGTCGACGGTACCAAAAAAGGGAGATCGGAAGGCTGGACAGCGAGGCTATTCAGATTGCAAATCAGGAAAGCGGCGATCAGCAAAGAGGAGGAAGAAGATGAATCCATCATGAGGCACGGCGGCGGCGATTTTCCCTGGACCAGACGACGACCTCGATCAGGTTGCGGAAGAACGCGGCGAACTCCTGACCGGAGAAGGGAACTATATACCGACACCAGATTCCTCTTGGAGTTAAATTCCTAATTACCCTTACGGGGAGACCGTTCGATTGATCTTGATTGTAAATGATCGGATGATATGAGGAGTATTTTGGGGATAAAACTATGGCCGGGAAGTTTCCGCGTGTGGGTAGGATCCTCGCGTTGACTCACGGTGGAACAAGACGGGAGGGAAAGATCCTCGTGGACGTGACAGCTGTAGAAATCCTGAGATGGTTGGGTTTAAATATGAACGGCCGTGATTCTCCCGGTACATGACGGAGGATTAACGGCTGGAACCTGGGCCGTCTGTATCGGCCGGCTAAGGAAGCCATGGAAATTAATTGTTTAAGGGAACGAAAATAGCACACGAAAAAGAATTAATAACATAACAAGACTAAAAATAATATGACTATAAATAAAAAAAGTAAAATTAAAAAAAAAAAATCGAGCTATTTAAGATAAATCATCCCATTGTGGAGGGATTCGATTGGGATGTGCAAAATTAGACCTATATTATTTATGAAATTATAGCATTGAAATTAGATCAAATTGGGCATTTGGATCAATTTTGAACTGGTTAAGAGCTTAAGACAACAAACTCGATCGATGATATTTTTTAAATTAAAAACAGTTTAATTCAGTTAAAATTGATTAATTAAACTAAAAAATATATCTCTAACTAGTTTAGTTTGAATACTCATACTAAGTTTTTACTTTTTTTTTTAAGTAAAAGTTAAGATTACCCATGGTTTTAATCATGTCGATATTGACATCTATCCCATTGCTCTATTGCTTCGTCATGGTCACTTATGTCCTTTATCGTTGTCCGATGTTTCTATCATCTCGAGGCTCTTATCGTGATCACCGTATCTCGATGTCTCATCCTCTCTAATGTCAAAATTGGAGATGAGGATATAAGGTAGGAATGTAGAGATAACATTGGTTGCAGAGGCTAACAAGACAAGTAAAGACGGGATACTTGGGGAGAAAGAGGATGATTGGGGAGGGGGGAGGGAGGAGTGATGGAGGAGGTGTAAGAGATTCAAGTAAGGTAACTTACTGTGTTAACGAGGGAAAGTTGCTACACTATGGTGTCGAAGTCCAAAAGAAGTAGGAGAAAATTGGGGGTGAGGCTATGGGCATTATGGATGATGACAATGAGATAGAAACCTCCTCCTTTATCGTGTCGCCATACCACCCCATCTATCTTCTCACCCTCCATCATCGGAGGAAGGGTAACGCGGGTAATGATAATGAGAGTAGTTAATGTCATAAATAAAAACTTCATGGGGATATAACCATGCCTTAGCAGAGGGGTATTACAGATAGATGTGATGATCATGTGTAGGTGATCCGTAGCATAGCGTGGTAACATAATCATAAAAAGGCAAGGACAACAACAAGGGTTAGGGGTCAAGGAGGAGGAAAAATTATTCTTTTAAATTATAAAAGTCAAATATGAGGGAATCCAATAAAATTGAGAGAAAGTTGAGGGTGAGGTTATGAGCATCACATATGACGATAATGGGATAGAAGCTATGTCTCGTCCCCTATCACATCGCTAATGATCATCTCATCCCCCATCATTCTTAATGAAGCGATGACTAGGACGATAATAAGAAGAGTAGTTAACACTAGGGATAGAAGCTTCATAAGATCAGGCCTTATGTGGAGGGGTCAGGTGGATGAAGGTGACGACCATGCAAAGGTAACTCATAATTTAGCACGATGGCACGGTGAAAGTTGTTACGATAAGTAACTTTTTAGCCGTGGCCTCGGGGCCATCGCGGCTTGGTTTGGGTCCGGAAGACGGAGACCTCCATGGGGGCGCTCCTCGAGAAAGCTGAATCTCCGAAGGCGGGGATCTCCGAATGCTTCGCACCTGCACAAAGGTCGGGTCGGGGTGCTCGACCCGACCCCTCCGACGATCAAATTAGCGAAAGATGTTAAGGGGGTTTAGGAGGAGGAGAAACCTCCGTGTGTTGAGTGTGTCCTCCCCTTTTTGCTTGGGGCTCAGGGGTATTTATAGAGGAGGTTTGATGTTACCTGACGTAGCTGTCTGCAGGGTAGGACTGTACCTTTGGTGGCGTGGGAGGCCGAGCTGCTGCAGGGTATGACGAGCCTCGGGCAGTGTGTCGCTCAGGGGGATGCTGTCATGGCGTGTCACATCGCCATTTTTGCCCCTATCATATGCCCCCCCCCGAAAAGGGCTATGCGTCGGTTTTGCCTGTTGGAAGTCCGATGCATGGCTTCTCGCTTCAGGCGGGCTGTTTATGCGGGTCTGAGGGGCACGATGCAGACGGACCGGTCGCGCGAACGTGTCTCGAGCAGCAAAAGGCCGAGGCACGCGATTTAGTCGGGAGGTTGAATGGGATTGGACTCGGGGGCGACGGAATCGACGAGGGCCGAGGAGCACAACGCAGGCGTGGTGACCGCGCAGGTGTGGTCTTGGGAGGTGTAGAGCCGAGGGCCGA